GCGGGGGCCTGTCCAAAGTGCAAGCTCACTCGGCTAACAGGCGAGCTCGGAAGAACTGGCCTAGGGGATTCCTTTCCACATGGTGAATTGTTTGCCCGGAAGTATCCTTGTTAGGATGGGTAGCATAAAATCATCAGGTTCGGGGAAGTTGGACCGGCAATCGCATGAGAGTGGGCCCCCTCTCCCACCCAAAACCACAGGGCTCCCAACCATTTGGGTAATGTTCAAAAGCACCAAAATGGGATTTATAGTATACGAAGCTCTGTAAATCAGATTCCATCCGCTTGGCATGGGCATTTAGGTGAAGCATCTCGAAGAGAAGCCGGCAGAGGCAGGGTCCGCAGAGAAATCGGTCTTGGGTCCAAAACAAGGTGCTTAGGTGGGGCCACTAGCACCGTTGGGGGTCTCCAAAGATATGCTCGATTCTTGGGTAATATGAGGGGCACAACAAACAAATCAGATAGTTCACTCCGACAACCATGACTCAATGTTGTTTTAAAGTACCTCATCTCCCACTCGTTTTTTGTTGCGCCCTTGTAGTGGGCTAAATGGGTTTGTCTCAAATTGGCGGAACCCCAAAATGGCCAGTTCCTTTCTGCTTGCCTTAAACACCATCCCAAAAAGGATACCCCTAAGAAAGACACCCCCCAAATATGGAAGGAAATCAGAAAATCCAGAGTTGCGTGCCGGAATTCATGTCGACATGTCCATTTGGCCGTCTACGGTCCTTTTGGCAAATGGGGCATGAGGGACTCAGCAGATTCCACATTTCAACCAGAGCACATGCTCAATGTATAATGTTTCATGAAGAAAAAGGATCCTGGCTCATGTTGCTCTTTTCGGGAAAACAGCGTCGCCAACCCAAATGAGCAGCGGCTTCGTGCGGAAAGGCCCAGCGAGCCGCTCTTCCATCCCCGTCTAAGTTGTTGTCGGTTTGGATTATGTGGTCATAGGAGCACAAACACACAGACACAGACACAGACACAAAGCCCTCCATCGACTCTAGACCTTGATCCACATTGCCCTGTCATTGAGAACCGTGAAATGTGTGTAAGGACCTGTTGCAGCTGTATAGAAAGTTCCTTTCCAGTGCCAATGCGTCAAGCAGGGCGCAATTTCTAGGGGATCCCCGTACTATCCAAGCCTCCAGCCAAAGGGAATCTCCAGTGAGGTATTTAAAACCGTCATTCGATCGGCGAACATCTCCACCCTTTTTCCGAGATGGCAGTGACGATGGTCATGAAAGACTTCAACGGGCAAAATTGGTCCAGAATGATACACATGATTCACACACGCAGGGTGCTCAACGATTGGAAGGGACTGCGGTTTGCCTGCTCTAAGAGCAGTAACTGAGCATGCTACAGATTCAAATGTCTACTCCAGAGGGACACCAAACAGGCTCTTCATCATTTGAGCCCATTGAACCCATTAGGACCCATTTGTTAGAACCCATTTCTTAGAACCCATTTGTTTAGAACCCATGTGTTGCAAGTTCTATCCCATTCTTTAAACCCCCATTTGTTTAGAACCCATGTGACACAAGCTACACCCCATTTGCTACATCCCCATTGGAACCCATTGCTTGGATCTCGTTGACACGAAGCCCAACCCGAGCGCATGCGCTCGCTGCAGGTGTCGCTGGCCAGCCTGGCGGCCACCCTGGCGGAGTCGCAGCTCAACTACGAGGCCATCCGCCCCGACACCAAGGACGCCGTGGCGCCTCGGGCAATCGGCGAATCGGCGAGTCGGCGAGTCGGCGAGCGAAAAGCGAAAAATCGGCGAGAGAACGAGAGAGACCTGGGGCCCGGAGTGGGAAGTTTCGGGGGTCGCGTTGTTTTTGGTCTCTGCGTTTTCCCCAAGGAAAATAATATATATATATATATATATGTATATATATATATATATATTTGCCCTGGGGTTCGGGGGCCTTAAAAAGAAAGGCCTTTAGGAAGCGACCGTGAAATGTGGGGAACGTCCTTTGTTCGCAAGCTGGACGCTTTTAATTGGGTTGAGCGTTTTGTGTTGGCCGCATTAGTGGCCACATGGCTTTGCAGTGCTTGTGGCTGAAAAGTACGCTTTCCAAGGCCTCGAGCAAGCCATGTAGACATGTTGAAGCTGGTCAATGCTCAAGGTCTTCAACTTTGTGGGATTTCTAAAGACACTGATCATGGGCTTAGCAATGGGAAATCGCCAAAGGGAAAAGCGTGAAAATACCGTGAAATTGGCGTGAACGCCTTTTTTTGCAGTGAAAGACCGTGAAACGCCGTGAAATTTGGCAGGGCGAAAAACCACTCACATTCGTCCTGGCTGGCGTTGTTTTCTGCTGGGTTTGAAAAGGTCCTGCTGAATGGATGTTTCGGGAAGACCATGATTGTTCCATTGATGATGCAGAAATGTGCTGCTTTAACGTTGAGGCCTTCGTAAGTCTAGCTTGGTGTGGAAAAGACTTGTTGCTGACGATGTAAAGTTGGAATTCCACCCAGGCCCCCATCCCCCAGCTAGTCAAACAAAGGATGTTCATGTAATGTAACGGCCTTTGTTTTAAAAGCCTTTTACCCCCCAGGGTTTGTGTTTTGTCCAAGAAGGTCAAGTGCTTGTTCATCCCTGAACCAAAAGGATGGTGTTTTCCCCCAAGTAAAAACCTGTTTCCCCCCCCCTCGCAACCCTCCAAGCAGACCGCCAGGCGGAGGCTGTCTTGGGCTTCAAGCCCTCCCCGGCGCAGCTGGCGCTGAGGCGGTGGTTTTTGGATCGGGACCGGTGGTGTAAAAGACACACCGAGAAGAAGGCAGTTGAAACAAATAAGGGGCAGTATTGTTCTTATGTTACTACGATCATTTGATTCAGTATGTATATATATATATTATAATGGTGTAATAGGAAATGAGGGTGTTGGAAGAACAAGCACTGGAACAGCAGCAGAACAGGATTGGGAAAAATGGAAGCCACTCAAATAGGAGGGGGTGTAAACCTACCTGGACCGGGGGTCCATGTGGGGCGGCGGAATCCCCTGAAGGTCCATAGGTGTCATTTGTTTGTTTCACTAAGTTTGTTTTTTGGTTGTTGTTTTTCCTCCGGGTACCTGGAGTCTCCATGACCCTTTAAAAATGGGGGCATTACCCAAAATAAATGGGGTAATGACCCCATTTTTAAGGGTCATGGAGACTCCAGGTAGGTTTGTTTGACCACTGGTGTTTCAGGTTCCATCGATTTGATCGCCATGCTTTTTCCGAAAGGCCGAGGCTCGGGCCGCTCCAAAACGCACTCCAAGCTTGGTGGTTTTTTGTTCTAGGTCCCCCAGCCACGTGCCCTTTGACCGTTTCTTTTTTGGTTGGGATGGTTCCCCATACTAAAATAGACTACAGAAAAAGGGTACCTTTATTCTAACCTGTCTACTGGAGGACCGCGTTGACCACACATCTGGCTATGAGTTTGAATTGGGAAGCAAATAAAGCATTTGGTGGACATGAAGCCCATGTCCACCAGACGGGTTCCAGGGGTACCTTCCCCATTCTTTCCAGGGATCCTTCTTTCTAGACAACCTCCGGAAACCCAGGGAAAACGGTGATTGTTTTTTGAAAAGAAGGATGGTTGAAAAGAATGGAAAAGGAATCAACCCCTCCCAAAGGGTCCAAGTAGTCTAAGTACCTCCTGGGCCTAGAAGGGTCCTAAATTTCTCGCACCCCCCGCTCGCGAGGGTGAGAGAGCTAGTGGCGGCGGACCAGTTGGCGCCCGCGGAGAACCTCCTGGTGCGCTGGGGCCAGGCAGGGCTTGCCGTGCCGTTCCCGCATGGAACCGAGGTTCCTCGGTGTCCAGGTTCCCCTCACAAGCGCGAACAAAAGGGGATTTGCCAAAGCTGCCAAACAAGAGCGATCCTTTTTTCCGCATGGCCACCGGGGTCTGGAGAATTGGGAGTTTATCAACATCGCCCCAAAACTGGTCAGGCTCCTTGTGGTGCAGGACTCCCTTTTTGAAAGATTCTTATCGACCTTTCCAATGTTCCCCATGTCTGATTTTCGGTGAAGCCGACAGGAAACCGCTTCGCCATATTTTTTTTGCGTGGCTGGGTGCCCTATTTTTGAAGACGCACCCTCATGGCAGCTCTCTTCAGTGCCTTTGACGCTGAGATGTCTACATGCGAAGCAACATGCATCCACTGATCAAGTATTTTCAGTGGCGCTCTCAGGTTTCGGTGGACGACCGTCTGCCCCTTAAACTTGCGATCAGTGCGATAGGTAGGGAATGAGAAATGGAATGAACCTGGGGATCCCCGAATAAAGGAAGCCAAATCGGGGATGGTTTACATCGCCCAGAGGGTCCAAGTACCTTCTAAGGACCTTCTAAGGAGGTACTGAACGACCCCTTTTTACCTCCCAGAAGCCATCAGGAGGTACCAAGGGACCCTCTGGGTCGGGGTCATTCCATTTCTCAGGCCCCGCATCTCTCGCACCGATCGCCAGCGCGAGCCAATTCGCGCTGGCGCGAGGATGAGATGACCGCCTGCTGGGCGGTGCTCAGTCGAGACGAGACATCTTTGGGGGGCCAAAGCTCATTGGACCTCTCTGTGAAAGCCTGCAACTACCCGCTGACCTTGGTGTTGCTGAAGTATCTTGCCAGCTTTCCCCCCCCCCCCCCCGGCTTTTTTTTTTTTAACCACCAGTTTGTTTTTGTTTAATAAACAAGAAACAACAAGAAACACCCACTGCCCCTTCAGCCTTCTTTTGTTTTTTTGGTGGATTGCCGACCCCCCTTCCCCTAGAAATCAGTAGCCTTCGGCTTGCCCCTTGTGCAAATGTGCTTTGTATTACAGGTATTCAGGGAAGCCAACTGGCAGGGATACAGGGGGGAACCAGGGATACGGGGGATTTCCCCGTAAATGCGCCTCTAAGTTTGATATGGGAAATGGCGCCAAGGGAATCCCCCCAAAAAATTATCCCCGCTCCCTCCGTATCCCCGCTTCTGTCCAAAGGTATGTGCCAACAGACCTGAGCAATGAGATGATCGCCCTGCTCAACGAGCCCAACCCCTTCACGGGGCACAGCCTGCTGTACGCGGCGGTGCTCTACTCGAACCGCCACACGGCCACGGTGGTCAACGAATTGCTCCGGCGCAAGGTCCGTTTGGTGGGTTTATGGTTTCGAGGGGACTGCCCGCCCAAAAATGGCAGAAACACAGCACCAGGAATTGATGAGTCCCTGGTTCCTTTGAAGGGAAACCATTTTGGGAGGGGGGTTCGCTTTGTAGTCGTTGACCACCAACAAAAGTTGTTTGGTCCCCATGGCCAGCGGGTGCCGGTCTGAGCCGTTCCCGCAAGGCAGACCTCAACAGCCAGCGCCAGGGCGAGACTATGCTGGTGAATTGTGTCAGGCGGGCGATTGTTCAGTGGCACTCCTTTTACTTGTTGCGGCAGGCGGTTTTGCGGTTTTGCCGGTTTGGTAGGCAGGGAGTTTACTTATCTTTGAATTTGGTGTTGTGGCTTTCCCACAAAAGGTCAACCCGAAAGGGTTTGCCGTTTACCAGGACTCGCGGGCAGCTTGCGATAAGACTCGAAAGGCCCACTGGAAAGGGAAGCCATTCGATTGAAGAGTTTGACCACATCCCAGGCACGCGAGGGAAACCGAACGGGGTTGTTTGATGTTGTTTGGGTGTTGTTGTTTTTTTCAGGGGACCCGTCAAGCATGGTTGGGTCACCCTCCGACAAGGGTTCTGCGAGGAGAAAGGCCCTCGGTTCCTTGAGGCGTGCTGACCTCTCCTTGCTCCGGCGGGTGGTGGAACATCGGGCGGATGTGAACGTGAAGACCGCGAATGGCACGACCTTGCTGCAGGTGGGTGTGTCTTTTTTAGGAGACTCCAAGATTGGTGTTCCTTTTGCTTTCCCTTTGGAACCAAGCCCAAGAAAGGATTCGCCTTGCAGAAAAGACAAATCTAGGTGGCGGTGGAACGGGGCAACCCGGAGATTCTGAGCTTCCTTTTGAGCTGCTGTGATGTGACTTGGCTGCGTAGTTGGATCTTTAGCTGGGATATTCAAAGGTAATCCTTCATCCTTACCTTGTGTTATGCAAGCGGTCAGCTTTGTCGTGGCTCCCCTATAGGGATTTTAGATTTGAATTGGTCAACCCTCCCTTTGGAGCAGCCCAGTATTTGGACTTTAACACTTGTTTGGTCATGGTTCGAAGTTTCCCCCCAAACGGATAAAACCACGAAAAACCAGTTCGCACGCTGAGCCATCCAGGTGAATGCGGTAGATCGCAATGGCAGCACTGCATTGGTGTCTGCCCTGCGACAAGGCCGGTTCAAAACATGGACGCATAGGCCGACAGTTGCATCTCCACACTTTGGCTAAGGGTCCAACTTAGAAAGACTAGGTTGCCACGAGCTGACGGCACGTGCTTTTGCTTTTTGATTTACATAAGCGAAGCAAAGCTGCTCAGACAAACAACAGCTCGCATAGTGGAGGTGTTGAAAATACCTGCGTGGAGTCTTCATGACCCTTTAAACAAGGGCAGTGTTTTGTTCATTGTCTAAGTAGATGACCTCAACTCAAACGGGTCAGATCCGGATACTCCAAGAGCGCCCTTGGCCATAGTCTGAGTTGTTCAGTGGCACCCTTGTTCTCTTTTGTTTTAGTGGCTGCCCAACTAAAAATGGTCTTCCCAAAAAAGGGTTCCCTTTTTTTCCAGGGTCACTGAACACCTGAGTAGTGAAACCTGCCCATGGCCAGGCAAGCCGCCCTATGAGCTCGCGCACATGCTCCTGGACGCTGGCTGCGACCCCTCTGTGCCCGACGTGGACGGCATCCAATGCTTGCCTTATGCCATGGCGACACGGGATGCCGCTTGAACTGCAGCGGCAGCGACACGTGTGTTGTTCCGGCTTAAAGAGTAACTAGGTCCCCTAGCTAGGTGGTTCCCCTACTAAAATAGACTTCCCTTCTTCTATTCGCTCTACTGGAGGACCTAGGTAAGGGATCCAACAAAAGAAGACACTTCATGAGCTTGCTAATCAGATCCAAAGAGGGCTCTCTAGTTTGGGGCGAATTGGAAGCGGGGTCTGGCAACGCGGACATTCTTGGTGCTGCTTTGTTTGCAAAAACGGGGAAGCATTGAGCAAGGTGTTTGGCCATGCTATATATATATATAGATATAAGGCCCTGCTTGTTTCTTTTGGGTTGGTGGCTGTTGGGGGTGCCCTCAACATAAGATTGAAAAGGCCACACAAAGGCGCAATCAGACTGCCAGTGCAGCGAATGGCTTCCAGCGCGTCGGTTTGGGCAAGTTTGCTTGAACCGACCACTGCACCTTCGATTTGTAATGATAAGGGAAGTCAGAGTCATTGCTTCAAAGCTTGTGGGTCAAACATGTAAGTCATTGGCCCCAACTTTCCTGGGAGTTGTGGTATCAAGGGAACTCCCTTTCCACCAAAAAGAAGAACCTTATCACAGACAGTGTCGCTTCCAGCCGTGCGCCCCAAGGCATTTGGCTACGATTATGCATAGGGGACTGCCCCAAAAAGGGGTCTGTGGACGTAAATCTCCACCTAAGTGATGTCCACCAAGGGGTCCTGTTGGCTCTGGGACTTAGAATTTACACCCATTTCCCTGTGAGTCAAGCACCACTCAAACCCGCAATGAGTCAACCACTCAACATGCTTGGTTGTTGTTTGGGTTTCCTTACCAAGATGAGCATGGTACCCTTGTCCCAAATCCCTTGGACCGTCAAGTGCCCACCTGGTCGTGAGGTGGCCATCTACCAAGCGATTTTGGAGCACAGAGGCGACCCCGACGCCCTGGCCGAGCCCCGGCGAGATCGCAGTGCACCGAGTCGCATGCTGCACGCGGCGGCGCAGGCGCACAATGAGGATCTGGTGAGGCCAGGGGACACTGAGGGCGGCGGTGGACACCGGGGGCCTCTGTTGACACGTTACGATAGATTTACTGAATGGTGTGTCTTGTTTTTGTGGACAGTTGCTCGTGTTTGCAGGTTTTAAAAGGAAACAAACAGCAAAACCAGGGGTCCCTTAGAAAGAAGACGCACCCGTATGGACTGGCATGAAGCGTTTTCTTTGTGCGGTAGAAACGTCTCCAAATGATTTGAGGGGTTAGCTGACCGCCGGCACACGTAATATCTTGTTGTTGGAGGTTTTGTTTGTTTCTCATTAGGCACGGTGACAGAACGCGAATGTGATTATTTGCATCCTAGCTTGCTCTGAATATGTGTTTGGGGTTTTTGGAAATTGGTGCCCTTGAATTCGGTGTCGGGAGCCTCACTGAAGGTCTGTTTGTTACCCCGAGTCCATGTCTTGCTTTTGTTAGTTATCTTGTTCCCCCTGCTCTCGAAGTAGGAACTCCTATGAGCTTAAGGGCATTTGTTTGAAAGGACACCGAATTGGCACCTAGCCCTAGCTGTTTTGTGTTGACGTTCCAAAGAACCAGAGCTTTGGATGCATCATTCAGAGCTTTCCTTGTGAGGCTGACGGGTTTGTCTACTTCAGTTCCCACATGTTGGCTGCTTGACTTGAGCGTGAACAAGTGATCAATAATCCATGTTGTTCATTTTCCATTGGACATGTGGGCATATGTGTTTTTCCTAGACCCCCCTCCCCGCTTTATCCTTAGCCGTGTTTCTGGGGGGGGTGGGGGGGTGGGGGTGGACAGCACTTTTCCCAACATATAGTATCCTGAGCCAACTGCCCAATGACAAACCAAACCAAATGAGGCCAACATGTTGACCTCTCATTTGTTTGGTTTCAAGGCCCCCTATGTACTGGACATGTATACCCCTGATTTCTCCACCCCACCCATGTTGTGTGTTTCCAGACCCCTATGGTGATCAAAGAGAACACAAACAACAGCCGACAAAACACACAAGGGCGCCCGTGGCGAAGCAAGGAAGCCACAAGGATACCGTAAGGAGCAGTTGTCAGAGACCAACGGAAATCACAGGGGAAGCGTGCCCACGTGAAATTGCGGGGATCGTCCCAACCCAGAGCTTAGTTGTTGTTTGTTTGTTGCAGTGGGGTAAAGCAAGTAGATGGCACAATCCGCCAATTTGGTTTAGTCGTCCCTTTAATTGCCCAAGGGATTTGAGCCATCGACTGACAGTTTGGTGCAAATTCACAATGTGTCTAACCTCATTACCGGAGTTGCTCTGAAAAAACAACGTGAAATTTGACGTTTGATCAAGTCACCCTCTGGTGGTGTGTATTTGTAGTGCTCCCGAGCTCAGCTCCAAGCCGCCGGGCTCCAATCCATCAACGACGCCATCTTCCAGGTCATTCGGCTGGTCGACCCCCGGTTTTCTGGTGGAAGCTAAATGGGAAGCCACCCCTTCACCAAAGCACCGGGCTCCAAACCACCCTTTTCTAGGGAAGCTGAAAAACCATTCCCCAACCTCCCCATTCCCCAACCCCCCCCAATCAAAACCACCCTTTTTGAGTTCAGCTGATAAACCTCCAACATCCCCATTCCCCAACCCGCCCCGCTCAATCCAAACCACTCATTTTTCTACTGTAACTTCCCCATTCTTTCCAGGGATCCTTCTTTCCAGAAAACCACCAAAAGCCTGGTTGTTGAAAAGAGCGATGGCTGAAAGAATGGAAAAGGAATCAGCCCCTAGAATTTTGAGGGAAGCTGAAGAACCATTCCCCAACACCCTTCCCCCCCAAACCAAGCCACCCACCCCTTTCGAGGGAAGCTGATAAACCTCCAACATCCCCATTGCCCCCCGCTTTTTGAGGGAAGCCGATGTTTGCGGTGACCTCAGGTGCCTCTTGGAGGCTGCTGCCACGGTGAGCCACACGGACGCCCGGGGCCGCACCATTCTGCACATGGCGCTGGGCCTCAGCTTCGCGGAGAAGACCGCGGCTCGGACGACCGGACAACCGGACGACCCAACCAAAGGGGAGCCATTTGACCATCTTGGTACGTGTTGCATGCGTTTTCTGTTTTTTGAAAGCAAGAACATGCCATGAGGGGTTTCTATTACTTGATGTTTGAAGGGAACCACCTGGAGTCGCCGGATCTGACCCTTTGAAAATGGTTGGTCATTCGCCAAAATCATGGTTGGTCATTTACCCATTTTGTAAGGGTCGTTGGAGACTCCAGGTACTTTATTTGTACAATTTTTGGAACAAGAAAAGTGTTTGGTTCGCATCTACTTCCGAGCTTTTTTTTTCTCTCGCAAGTACGATGTATCCTGGTTGCTTCTTTGGCAATTGAACACGACCAACCAATCAACCCAATCAACCAACAAAGCCAGCAAACCATCCCAACCCAACCCCTCGAGGTTAGATTTGGTTAGATTTTGTTTGTTTCTGACCAGTTTTTGACAAGCTCCTTTTGAGATCGGAGGGGAACGATGACCAAGCCTCAAGAAAGTTGGTAAACGGATTCCTTTTCCCTTATGAGCCAACTGTCTACACTTGGGATCATTGGGATTGAATGGGTCCAAAATGAATGGATCCCTTGGATTCCCTTGACAACCACCCCGAACGTGGTACCCTCACGAAAAAGAGAAAAAACACAACTCTGAATTGCTTCTCATGTTCTCAGACCCTGGTCTTGCAGGGATGTCCGTCGCCCGAAAGCTGCAGCTGGGTACCCTTTCAAGAAAAATACAACCTTTCTACCACCCGGTGGATTTGACCCGCCCAAACACTGGCGCCCTGAAAACGCCGCATCCCTTGACCACCCAAAAGGGGCACCCTGAAAAAACAAGATCATTCCGAATTGCTTTTGATGCCCGACCTCAGCCAAAAAATACAACGACGTAGGTACCTCTTTCTTTTGCTGGTGCTCAGTGGGGAATGACCGAGACCGGTTGTTGGGAATGAACCGCCTGCAAATTCCCGAACAAAGCGAACCACCAGTTGGATGGTTTTTCTCGGGGTCATTCCGTTTCTCATTCCCTGCCTACTGAGCACCAGCAAGTTCCTGTTACGGACTAGGTATTCCAACTCATTGCCTGGCTATCGCAGCCGCAAGTTCCTAGGTATTCCGTTTCTCATTCCCTGCCCATCGCACCAGCAGGTATTGCAAATCAGTAGAAAATTGGAAAAGTGCCCTCGCTGCAGCAAGTTCCAGCAAAAGGAGTGGCATTATCCAAGCAATAGGACTGCTTCACCCCAGAATGCCAACTTAGACCTCAACCCAAAAAGAATTCACGACCTCTTGGCACCGAGGTAGAGATGATCCTGGAGCTTCAGGGGGACCCCAATGCCCGGCAGGGGGACTTCCAGGGTGAGACTCCGCGGCCCGGCGAGTGGTTTTTGAGCAGGCCATAGGGGCCGTAGGGCTCTATCCAGCCAAAACACCCAGGGCCTTCTCGGCTTTCCATTTTGGAGGGCTGTCAAAGTTTGATTCTGTCCGCTTTTTCGTGCCAGCGTCTTTGTTTTTCCTTCCAGCCAAGTGTTGAAGGGCAATTTTCGAAGATGGCGCGCCTGTGGACCCAGTTTGTTAGGGGAAGGTCATCCATTACATCAATGTTAATGTTGCTTCTTCCAGGCAATATATGGGAGCTGCTTGCTCCCGCCGTAAGATCCAAGTAATTTCTATTATAAAGGGATTTTGAATGCATATCTCTTTCATCCCTTGTCCCATCCTTTCACCATTTGATCTCTACGAACATGGCATGGGACAGAGGATGATAATATGGTGTGATGGCCTCCCTCTTCATGTATTACTTATTTATTGGATTCTAGAGGCCATCAATTTCCTTCTCTTCCATCTTCCCGCGCGTCCACCTAGGCTTGGCAACATCTCCAACATCTCTTGACTTTCTCCATCTAATTCTCCGTTCCCACAGATTATCACTAACACATGATCGGGGATTAGGTGGCTAAAGCTTTCCTCTTTCTTCCAAAGAGCACCTTTTAAAGTGAAACATTACAAAACGTTGGTGAGCTTTTTGAGTTGTTGGGAAATGGGGCCCACTGTTTGGGTTCCATGTTACTCTGGTCACTCACCCTGAACACGGGGAAGCTGAAAGGCTTCGCCTCGCAGTCTTGAAGAATTCCCCGGCGGTCAGCCTCCTGCTTCGCATGAGGCGGGCCAAGGTTGGGTTGGGCATGGGCGTCTTTTTTTGTGTTGAGCCACACGGAAAACGGAAGCCACTTTGGGGGGTTCCGCCTAGAAAAGGCACACACACACATTGGCTTGAACAATCGTCCTGGTCTTAGCTTGCAAGGAGTTGTGTAAACCAGCTTTTAGATATGTGTTAAAAGGGGGGCGACTCCAGGATTGGCATCGTAAGCCACGCAGAACCAGTCCTGCGACCCCGTTTGGCAACCTTCCGCCCCCTTCGGTTGACATGGAATGACAAGGCTCACCATCTGTGGGTGGACGGACAATTTCCATGCTAGATACCACTTGGGAGAAATCAATCCCTATAAATAAATGAAGAATCCACCTATACCGACGGATACAGGATTTTGTCCATCAACAGTATGAGGATATTGGCCAAACAAGTTGGACGCATGTGCATACAGAACACTTGCTCCCTCTTGTTGGTTTTTCTCAATTGTCCCACAAAATACGGACAACATCACATGGGCTGTTCCGTGTTCCACAAACATCAGGGAACCCTTTGTCTTGAGTTCTAACCAACGGGTTTCGATCGCTTGCAAGACAACTATGCTTCCTGCACCCGATTGCGGAGCCCATTCCTTATGGCAATTCGGTTAGATCTTTGGAATTTAACTTTTGGAGAACGGTGTATTTTCAACTGGACCCACAAGAAGTTAGTCTTTTTGCAGAGAGGTCAACAGCAAGCATTTGGGTTTCCTTCAGAACCCCGAGCCTCAACAAAAAGACACACACACACACGGATCCGGATCCGTTTAAACCGACAAAAAACGGTTTTTGTTTCCAACCCACAGAGGTCACCCATTGGTCAGGGCCGACCCCAACGGTGCCAACCTGGGTGGCTACTCCGCCCTCTTCGGGGCTTGCGTCTCTGGGAACCTGGACACCGCACGGTGCGGGGCCCAGCCGGGTGGGGGGTGGGGTGGAGCAGGTCTGAGTCTGACAGTTTCACGGGTTGAAGGGAATGTCAGCGACGCAACAGCAGCCCTGCTGTTCGTTTCTTGTTGGAGATAAAGACCAAGGCTCTCACAAGTAGCTAAAAGAGAAGGGGATTTGCCAAAACCGAAACGAGAGCCTTTGTTCTCCACGGCCGGGGTCTGGAGAATGGGGACCGTATCAACATCGCCCCACTGGTCAGTTTCCTTTTGGTAAAGGACTCCCTTTTTGAAAGATTTCCCTTTCCAATTGACCCCATATTTTGTTTTTCCTTTGGTAGAAAAGGACACAATGTACGGGCGTTAGTTTCCCTTAAAACACAATCCAAAAACGGTCTCATGAATTTGAGCAAGACAGATCTCCCTGGGTCTCCCTATGATGGGTGGCTTACGTTTACGGGAAAAACCGGGAAAAGCCCCTCAGGACTTTGCTGGCCTTCCGGGCAGATGTGGACAATTTGGACCGGAAGTGGGCCCAACTGCTGGATCCGCCGCGAGAGGCGGGCGCATGGTCCAGGTTCATGGTCGTGGACCATACCTTCTGGGTGAATTAGAACGACACGACCCCACCCCAAATGGTTTATGTGGGGAATAGCCCCCCCCAAGCTCCTTATTTCAGGTTGAAATAGTATAATTCACCCGGATACCTTCCCTGTGATGCCAAAGGGGATTCCCATCCCCATGCCTAGTTTTGGGCGAATACCTTTTCACAGAAAGTGGTTGGGGCACACAACTAACAGTTGTCCAAAACCATGAGAGCGGGGTAGCTGGGGTTGGCTGACTTGCCATGGACATATCCTGCCAGGGTTCTGTGTGGCTTTCCCTTGATTGCAGCTGATGAATAGCCCCGCGCCCTGTTGAAAGGCTGGACTGCCAGCCCCCCGACTGCCAGCCCCTACTACTTTACAGCAGCGGTCCCCAAGCTTTGTCCAAAAGTCTGGGGCAAGGGCCTTGGTGGCCTTTCGAGTGTGCAAAGTGTCACCGACTAAGACTTGGCTGAGTAGGAACCATGATAGGTGCTGACTGAGGCTTATTTGAGAGCCCGTGATGTGAGTGTGCAAGTGTTTTTTTTTAAATGTAACTAATATCGCCAACGCAACACATGCGCATCGACATGAGTTTGCTACTAGCTTGCCGCGTTGAATATTGAATTGCACTGGCTCTAATCATCTCAAACAATCATTTGTTGTGACCGCCAAATGGCTGCTGAAGACAGTTATGCATTCGCAGACCTGTTCGGAATCAAGAAAGCACACAACAGTCCTTGTCAGAACCAAACAGGTTTCATCCAGGCCAAATGTCAATTAAGCGCCCGCACCCGCCGTCAAAGCCACCATCAAAGAAGCTGGCAGAGTTGTTGGTGGGATCTCACATCCAAAGCGATGGTATATTGCAGGGTAGGCGAAATATGAACCATAATCAGAAAATAAGATGTTTGGAGTACCCCTGTGGGCCAAGAGTAATTCAAAGAGGTTAGCCAAGGTCACCCAACAAAACGCAGCGTTGGGTGCCTGACACATTGCTTGGGAGGTCAGCTTTGACGCAGTGGCGCCTAAGCACCGGGCCACGCCGGGGGTCTCAGCCAACTCACACAGAGTGGTGCCATTGTTTCAGCTCTTTTTGGAGGGGTCCCTTCATTTTCCTTTTTGGAACCCAACAGATGCGGTTTCAAGGGAAAATCCGGTGCCCCCTGTATATATTGGAGGGTTCCCTTTGTAGTCACCTACCAAAAAAGGGCTCCTTTTTGTCCATGGCCACTGGTCAAAGACCAAACAAGTCCCACCCAATGTGCATCAGAAAGGGTAAATAATGTGCATGGCTGATAGGAAACGTTTTGAGATTACGAGGGAGACAAGTAAGTTTGTTTTTCAGTCTGACATTTTCCTTAGGGCTGGCAGGTTGATTTGCTGGCTTGGTGGCTTGGTTGCTTGGCTGGGCGCATTCCCATCGCCGCTTCGGCACCAAACTTGTCCAACCTCTCTAGCCCATCCCACTGGCCTGTGCTTGGCTGTATATCCCATTGGGCCCCTGGATCCCTGTGTCTTGCAGGTTAAAACGGGTAGTGTCCCCCCGTTTTTTTAGAGTCGCCCGCACGAGGAGAGAAACCTCTTGACACCCTGAAGAGGGCTCCCATATGTTTGGCTTTAAACATCACTTGGCCCAAGATAAGGTGAGGAGTTTTTTTTTTTTGGTGTTTCAGCTGATTTCTCGTGGGTTTCCCTTGGTCCGGGTGATGTTTACAAGGATAGAGCCCCGTCCTTCGGTCCGAGGCTTTGGGCCCAGGCGCGGTATCGACCCAGACGGAAGGCGCCGCGCGTGGAAGTCTCCGAGGCGCGCCGAAAGCCACGGTTCACATGAGGTCACGGGTGGAACCAACGTGCTGCAGGGCTCCTGAAAAGATCTCCATGTTGCTTGCCACCATTTGAAGCATGTGGCTTTTTCAACACCACAATGAAGTTGGAGACCACCATTTACAAGTTGCAATGTTCAGGTGTATAATGCATCCGGATCCCTGTGGTTTGAAGTTGGCTGAATTCTGCGTTAAGGGCCATCTGTTCATTCCAAAGGCTTGAGTGTTCAGGCAACTCGGGTTCCAACTGAGACAACTCTGTGGGTTCCAACTGAGATTGAGAGGGTCTGCCGGCTTGGGGAGGACGAGACACATGGCTCGCGGGTGGGCCCAAGTCGCCCCAGCTTTCCCACCAGCCATGGCATGGCTATATTCGTGTCCTTGGACCCACGTTGTGATGGTTTATGTCCAGCGGCCGGAAATATTCCCCAAGAAAGAGGCTAAATTGGATATGGCGCATATGATACATGTCTTTTCTACTGGCTCGGAACCCCCAGAATTGTGTTCTCTTAAGTTTCCCCAGCGAAGCGTACAGAAGATCAACTCGTGTCGGAACCAGAGGGTACAACTTGCGCGGGTTGTTCCGGGTTCAAGGTTCGACCTCTCAAGGCTCACTGTATGAACCCCTTGTATGAGCCCAAACCATTCTCCAATAACCCTGACAAACTGGCACATGATGTTGACCCCGGATTGATAGCATTGTCCCCTTTTAGTGGGGTTCATCACGTTTGGAGGGAACGCCCCCCATATTAATATGAGGGATTTGCGGTACTCCGCTTGGGCATTGCTGGCCTGCTCGTGTTTGCGTGTTGAGAATCAGAGCGCGGCACTTTGAGACATGGAGGTTCAGGGACCTACAAATGGATTACGTACAGGCTGACTGAACATGATTTTCCCGTGTTCCTGGACTTAGTCTAGTGTTGTGCCCGAAAATACCAGGAAAAGCCAGGCTTTTCCAAACATATTCTTTAAAGACATGGCTGGTCTTTGTACTCTTAGCCCCTTAGACCTTTTGGAAACAAATGGCTTTTCCATACCTGACTTGGAGCAACCCAGACATTGTTGTTTTTCAAGTTATGACGTCACCCCCGAAAAAGAGGTGTTACATGGAAGCAACAACTGTTGTTTCCAAATAAATTGACCGCTTGCCGGCCCGAGGAGCCCGTCGACTTGGATGCACTGCCCTTTGCACTGCCACCCATCGAGCGGCTGAAGCGAGTGGGCAGAACTCGGTGACGCCCAGGGCACAGCTGGAGCCAATCCCTGTGACAAGAGGTTTCTGACCTCGATCTACATGTTGATTTCCCCTGGGTACCTATAGTGGCGCTATAGTGGGGGATTCTTCGCTTTACCTGACTAAACTGGTCAAATCTGTGAAGGAAACTTCCGAGTGAACCAGCTGCTAGATGGATTTGTCGTTCTTGAGGACACCACTTTTGTAGGTGAAGTGAGTGGGGCATGTTTGTTTTGCTTTTAAAGGGAAGGCACCCCTTGGAGTGATGCTGGAAAGGAGCATGAAAGGCGATATCACCCTTTTTGGGGCAAATGTCCAGCTATGCGCCGCATGCATTCTTTGGTAGAGCCCAGTAGTACAGTAGATAGCTACATGCTCAGCAGAGCTGAGCAACGCTGCATAGGCGCCAATGCTTCAGACTCGCAGAAGCTCAATGTATGTATCTTTGTTCTAGTTGTGTCGTTAGAACTGTGCAAGGCTTAAAGTTTGACCGGCGATGGTGTTTTCTTCGCGCTTCCATGTTGCATCGGCGCGCACATTGCGCGAAGCCCATGTTAATGATACCCGGTGGCGGAACGACCGCCGCGACAGCGAAGTAGCTGTCACCGGTCCGAACGGCCCCTGAGGGGTACGTTTCACTGCCCCAGCTGCAAAGAGTCAGCTTGCGCCAAAATGAGGCGATGTGTGGCAAAAGTGCATTGCGGCCGGAACTTGGTATCCAACATCTGAAGATAGGAGTGTTGGTTCGCGTTCTTTTCCTTTGGCGGATTGCGCACGTGATTGTGTTGCCTATGGACCAACTTGCGACACGCCACAGTTGCCGCCCCACCTATACACAGTCTGGGGGATCTCTGATGTGGACCATGAGCCAGCTACCATCCTTGATGACATGTGTGGTATGTTGTGGTGGTATGTTTTGTTTTAGCAGACTTTGGGACTACATGTGATCATGCGCCATGGTCAAAATAGCAACTTCCACACAGAAACCTTGGGACACACCAATCTTCCCTGTCCGGGAGGGAAACAGCAAATGCTGACCATGGCTCACATGCAAGGGTCTTTCAAGAGCGGGCTTGCTAGCCTCAAGCTCTCTTGCACGTGGTGTGTGTGTGTGTGGGTGTGGTTTTTTGGTTGTTTCCCCCGAGGGTGCTCTTGTTACCGCCAAACGGAAACACACCATTTGTGGGTTCCCTCTTGGACTTCAACAAGTTTGTCATTCCGCCAAGGATCGACTTGCGGAATCCCGAGTCGCCGCCGCTGGAGGAGTACAACTACTGGAAGTCCGGAGCCCGTGTCCAGGCATAGGTTTCCACTTCTTGACTATCCCCACAATGACGTAAACCCAGGGTCGCGTCATGTACCCGAAAAAGGGCACTCCTGGGTTTAAGTCATTTTGCAGGAAGTCAAGAAAATGGAATCCTGCTCCAGAACGCACGTGGTTTTGGGACCTTGTTGTTTTGCTATGAAACCGACTGCGAAAAGGAGAACCCTCAAGAAATACACATCCATGTATCTGTCAGTTTGATGGTGTCACCTGAAATGAAAGGAGCTCGCCATGCGGGCCTCTGGGGATCCCTTGTTGGGGCTTTGGCATGCAATTGGCAGATCTGTGGGTGGAACGTTTGACATGTCTACTTCAATTAGGGTGGATGGACGACATGTTCCGTATGTGGATGCACAGCAGTTGGTTTTGCATTCTGTGTGCTCCAGGGGTTGAAGAACGGAGGAGACCCCTTCGCTGACTCGCGGCGATGCAAAGTTGCAGACGCACTCGCCAGCTGTTGGATCAAAGGCAAATGGCTGGCGCCAAACGAGCCACAGATTTCCGAGCCCACAGCCTCAAGCACGGTGAGCCTTGAAGGCGAGCTGCTGGGAATCAAGTCACCCCTTCGGACCCAAGCTCATCACCGGGAGCGCTCAACCAACACGTTGGACCCCATCTCAACAGCTGCCTTCGCGAGCCTCGGGGCCTCGCCTGCCTTCGCCATGCCCAAGGCAGGCAAGGAGGCGGCGCTCGGTGAGCGGGTTCACTTTTGGTCGAAGCGCTTCAAACGGCATGTACGCCATGCTGGTGGTCCACCCCAGAAGGGGATTCCTCAGGGAAACAAGAAACCTCCAGTTTGCTAGGTGCGATGTGAAACTCTGCAGGGGTCTAGGGTTTACAAAGGTGACGTCCTGGATTATTGCAAGCAGTGGAGCAAGGTTTCTTTGCATTTGAATGCTTGGCCGCCGATGTTTCAGCTTGCCCACGGCATGCACACAGCAGGGCCACGCGACTCAAGATGACTAATCCAGAATGGGTTGGAATGATGTAGTGAACCCCCTGTTTGAAACATGTGTAAACAAGTAAACCACTATGGTTCGAGCAACCTCCTTGTGGTTTCCCAGGATCGTTTCAGCTAATGCCTCACCCTCCAGGCGAAGGCCGGGACCAAGAGAAAGAAGGAAGTCGCAGACGCGGAGGAGATTGGGAAGTTGGTCGCTTCTGTGCTGAGGCTAAGTCTCCCAGTAGTGCCCTTTTACCGTTTCTTTTTTGGGGAGGGTTCTCGTACTGAAATAGACTACAGAAAAAGGGTATCCTTATTCTAACTTCTCTACTGGAGGACCTAGGAGGTTGCCGGCTTTCGTGCCCTGCGCTTTAGCTTTCGCGGGGCCTTGTTAGGAGCGCCGCTCAAGTAACCCTTTTCATGAGGGTTGTTTTGGGTACTGCTCACACGCAAACCGGTATGGGACTTACTCATTTCCGACAAGGGGCCTATCATATTCCCAGTAGCAGTAGATCCGGATGCCCAGGCGTGTTCCCAGCGCTTTAGGTTTTGCACAGAGTAAGTCCATGCTTTGTTGAATCTTTGTTGAGGCATCAGCAACATGTGACAATGGGCATGTGCGCAGCTGGCAGCCAGGTTGTGTCCTGTAACTGGGACGAAACTCAGGGTGTTTGTAAGATTCGCCTAGTCGAAGGGAATTGTCTATCATGTTCCTGCAAGTTGTCATGGAGTCCCGAAACAGGGGTCCCCAAAAGAAGATTCCTCTACAAGTGCGCGTATGTGTTTGTGTGTGTGTTTCTTGTGTAGTTGTCCTTTTTGGAGTAGGTTCAAAGGGAAAGAACACGGACACCTTTCTGGGGATCCAAATTCTGACAACCCAAATGCTGGTGAAGTTTGCACACCTGGCCATCCACTTGACAGCTGCTGTCTCAGTCGCCTTAGGAGCCGGAAGATGAGAAGGCTGTGGCCTGCGAAAAGAAAGTCACCCACAACACAAAAGCCGCATCCCAAGGGGAACACAGACTTACAATAAAATATCACAATGGTGACATAGATAGTATAGGTATATATATATATATATATAAACATGTAGAACATAACAGAGCACTTAAAACAGTCACAGAGCACTTGAAATTAGGCTGAATGGCCAGCAAACGCGTCGAAGGTGTATATACCCTACTAGCCTTGGGCAGCCGGTTGACCCCTTCAAAGATGAAAGCAACGTGTAGCTGCTGAACATGATGGGCACTTGGCGGTATCCTAGAAAGATGAGTCTATCCGATTGGCCTTGCAAGGGGTGCATGACCCAAGAAGCGTGATAGTTGGGAGCTCTTTGGGTCCGAGAACAAGTCAACGGTCACCACCCAGCCAAGAGGAGTGAGCAATGCCGTCATTGAAGAGTGGCTTTGCGGATTATTGCTTGCAGAAGTTAGGCCATGCTGGTCAAACTTTGGCGCGGGGGGGGGGGGGGAGATGACTTTTCTCCAACTTCGAGCAACATATATTGACTGGTTGACAACACGTTAGATACGTTAGCGCATAGGTAAATGCAGTGGTTTGCTCCTGCGTCTTTTGAACAATTGGTATCGAGACATCAAGACCTGGTGCACTTTTCGGGTGCGCACAGCTGAGCCGATGTGCATAGCCCGGTAATGGGCCATGCATTTCTCTGCCGCGCCAGGCGCGGACAGTCTATCTGGGAGGCGCGGCACAGCCGGAGATTTTGCGATCGCAATGCCTCTGCCTTCACTGAATGCCAGGAATAACTTGCTCTCCTGCAAATCAACATGGAGCCTGAAAACGGTAGGGGAAAGCATAGCCCTCCAAAGAAGAATGGTGCACTGGTTTCCATGCCGATCTGCCGAGAAATAGAGGAAGGCAACATGTTGCGCCATGTCGCTGAGCTTCGTGAGGCTGATGCCTCCGAGCCCCAAAAGTAGAGGCTAACGCCTGGGCTTAATCATCCATTTGCTTAAACTTAAGAATATTTTTCTATTTTCCCCGGTTGGTGTTTAGAGGGAATCTATCGGTGCTGGAGTTCGTTTTTGTTTGTTCAGAGGACTCAAGCAAAGGGAAATTCTGCGAGGTGTGCCACGACTCTGTCAAGCCAAGACCATCTCCGAGAGGTTCGCCAAGTATGGGGAGGTGCAGGAGAGGCGTCGGAAGCAGAATGATTGAACAATGAATGACCACATGCACATTCCGTTTAAGGGCGTGGCCAAACAGCTAACAACATGGGGAGCCATCATGCGAACTTGCGAGCTGCGATGTCTACCGTAGCGAACGGCCGGTTTCAATACGGCTTCTATATTTGCCTAGCCTTCATGATTCATATTGTGTCAGCATTGATCAACATGTTGAGGAACAGGGCATTCCAATATGTCGAAAGTATTGCTAGCCCTTGGCTTGTGTCAAGACAAGAGCCATGGATGTTCCCCACGTAGCTTCGTCTCCCACAGAGGGAGTGACTTGTTCAGCTTCTTGATACCTGTCTCAAAGGACTTCACCTGATTTACGGGGATCTGGTTAGTGGAATGCCAGCAGAACGCAAGGCTCGCGGGTCCGTAATTTTGACACCCAGGCATTCAGGGGCCATTCCTGTACTTTTGACCCAGATCCGTCCAAAACCCGTGTTGGTCAGTTTACCTGGTTCTACTGCCAGGTTTCATAAAAGGTGGCAAGCCCTTTGCAAACCTAGAACCATCTTAGTAGAACCAACAGTCAAAATACCGGTGGTTATCCTTTGGCTTATTGCAAGCCTTACTTTTTCCGCACCCCCACAAGGGTACCAAGTCAGAAAGAGGCACGCCCAATCTGCGAGGACGTGCAGATCCCGCCAGACCGGCGGAACAAGTCGAAGCGTATCGCCTTCGTCACCTTTGCGAGCAGAGCGCAAGCAGAGGCCAGTGAAAGTTGGAGGCCGTTGATGCTATCTAAGCATGGACCGTCCAACTACGCCGAAAAATGGGAAATGCAAACAGTGGCTGTGAACCTTAATAGGGAACCACCTCAAAATTGATTCAACATGAATCTTCACCCAAATGAAGTCCACCAAAGGGTCCCTTATTTGAACACACTTGCATTTGTTGAACAAACCAGCTGCCTGGACCCTCAAACAAATTTTGCAATTTGGACATCACTCTTACTGTTGGGACAGCATCGCACTTTGTGGTTTGAGGGTCCAGGTAACATAATCGGTCACAAAACGTAAAAAAGCAGGAGTTGATCGAAGAAATCCATATTTTCGAAGGGCACAGCAATTAAAGACTTCAAGAGGACTTTTAGACAACCTCAGCTTTGCTGCTAGCCTGGCTTGATACAACCTTGCTTGTCCAAAGCTGACCTTTCGAAGTCTTTGGGGTAAATCCAGAGGTGTTCCACTGCTTCACTCATTTGGACCCAAGCAAAGCTTCTTTACCGCTGGACGAATCCTCTCAAAAGGGGTCCTTTCATTTCCTAAAAGGGTGGTCCAACGGCGAACCTTGGTGCAAAGTTGCCTTTTGGGCTTTACAAACCGGTGAATCAGGAAGGCTTCCCCAAGACTTTGGATGGTAGGAGAACCCTAAAGTCACGGTACACATTGCTCTTGAATTGGTGATTCCTCTAGGCAACCCTTTTTGTGAGCCCTGTTTCATAGCAATGAGGTACTATTTTAGGCCCGCTGTGGGAGCCGGAGTTTGGGGAGCTAGACCGCTTTTGCAGAACGTCATGACTGAGCTAGTGATGCGGAGCTAGCACTGGCTTCTGCAGGTGTCTCAAGATCATGCCGTGCTCACAATATCCATTCGAACAGCCGTTGCCGCGGAGCACGGACCCGGTGGCAGTCTATGTTTGCCGTTGGCCAGTTGGTTTTCCAGGAAGAATGAGCCCCGAAAAAGGTAGAAAACCTATGTGCGAGTGGGTCTTGACCGGATGAAGGGAAAGCGCGCCCTTTTGCAGCACGGCCCTTTCCTGACAGAAATACGCTTAAGCTCATCCAAAGTGCGCGGGGGCATCGTGAAAATTGAGATTCTATGAATAAGAGGGTTGTTTTTGTTGCTCGCAGCACTTGGGTTCTCGTATTGACACTTTGAGTTGCTGCCAGGCGGCGTTAGCAGAGGCGGAGGCGGAGTTTGAAGGCTCCACACTGAAGGCGGGCGACCTACATCTTTTATGGAGCTTTGGACCTTTTGTCATGCCCAACCGGTTGACATATTTCACGAGACTGTGTTCGGTGTTGTTTTTGTCATTGCCATCAATGGTGCTGGCATTGTGTCAAAAACTAGGAGGTCAGCGCTGAGCCACGATGTGGTTGGTGCAAGGGCTCTTTTGTTTGTTGCTGTTTGCATCACTTCTTCGCTAGCAGAGGCACAGCTATGTTGGAACTCACCGAAGATAATGCAACTGGACAGCGGACAAATGTGTAGCTTGCAGCAGCTATGTTGACGGAAGCATATTTTCCCAAAGAAGCCTGTGTCTAGCTACCATGTTGGGGTTTGTCGGCTGCACCTGATAGAGCCTAAGGCCCTTGCTGGCGCAGGACCAATGTTACATTAAGACTGAGCAACGATGAAGTTTATCTCTTTGGGATGGGACTATTCGTTGCAGGCAGTTGAGTCGCAATCAAAACCTAGGTAATTGGAGATTAGTACAGGGCAATCCCAGCCATACATGGGTGCGGTTTAATTATTTACATGGTTCTGAATAGAAGCATCGCAATACCGGGTTCTGATAATGACTCAGTTGATGCTTGAGGGACCACTGCATGGTTGGGTAGACTTCCGCTTGCTCTTTAGTTGGCTTGCCTTCGTGTGGATGGACAGAGCAGCTAAGCTTTTGCTCCACAAAGGGAGTTTCTCAAAACGGACCCCCTTTTGGTTGGTATTTGAAGGGAATCCCAAAAGGCCTCCCCCCCCCCCACGCCAATTTGAGAAACACCCACAACACGAAGCTGTTGTTGCTTGTTGACTGTACCTATTTGTGATAGTCCCTAGGCCTCGGCATCAATGATAAAATGGTATGCCTGTTGTTCAAGTCAAATGTGCGCTTGGGATATGTTCGTCCCAATGGTATGCCCTTAGCAACAGCACATGTATGGTTCACCCGCCTCAAGCTTACTCGGTGCTGCTTTGAAATGGGAGTCTGACTTGCTCTTGGCGTGCCACATGGGGTAGTTGTTTATCCAGTCCGCATATTTCTCGTTTTGGTGGTTTTGAACAGCATGCTGACGAAGTTCAACTGATGGACATGTGGGGAACTCTTCTATAGCGAAAAATCAATCCGCAGGTCAAGCTATCGGGAATGGAGGAGCCCGCAGCTGAGGCACGGTATGACGGATTTGCCCTATTTTTTGGCAAGCTCACGTTGAGGTAGCGAAAGCCCATGATGAAGGCTCTGTGGTTGGGGATCCCTTATTTCCAGGTTGTGAATTATAGTGATTTGCCCAGGTGCTAAGCCCAATACTGACTTAGCCAGCCATGTCTAGTGTCCAGTTCCAAGCGAGCCTGGTCAGCTCCAGTCAGCACCACAGCTCAATATCCACAGGGCTTTAGGGCAGCTGTTTGTTTCCATTTGTTTAAATCTGAATCCACCCGTGTTGTCCATGCAGCAACATTTGATGCAACCAGCCAGCTAAAGACAGGTAGAAACAGCTGGAGACAGCGGGAGCCAGAGGGGTGAACAAGGGTTGCCAGAAATTTGAACTGACATGGCGACTGCATTTGTTTTCCCCCACTCGTGCCTTTGACATGGATGTCCACCCAACCCGCGCATTCCAGCAGGACGGCCGCTGGTTGGAATGCAAATGGTATGTTCCAGGCCTTTGTATGTTTTCCTTTTGACCAGCTTCAAAGTCACCTGTTTGGCGAGAAATGAAGTGCATCTTTGTTTGCGGGGTGAGCAAGAGATTGGAGGATCCTGTTTTTAGGTGCCGTGAGACTTGTTTCAATCTTGAAAACGGGCGCCGCAAAACAACCAAATGACAGTCAGGCGCCGGCGACAGCGAAGGTTTTCGTGGGAGGCCTGGCCCTGGTACACAGATCGAATTACCCTTTGGTCCAGCATGGAACCCGGCAACCATTCTTCTAGGACCCTCCCCCAGTCAGGTTCCATGTTAGTGGATGGGAGGGTATGACTCGTGAATCATGAAGGTGCCTCGTGTGTGGTGCATGACTGTTTCAGTAGTTTGCCCAGATGTTCAAATGTATCTTCATGTTAGCCAATCTAAATCGCTACACTGATCGCTTTAGTGCAGAGGGGTAGGCCGGCATCCAACCGCGCGAAATCCAGTAAAATGGAAACGTGCATGAATACACACACACGCATAGGGGATACATGTAAATTATAATATATATATATATATATACACATATGTGATCACACACACAACATGCCCCGCCCGTATAACATACATATACAGAACCAAAAAGCGGAATATACTAGAGAGGCTTATTCAAGGTTGGCCAGCGCCCCTATCATGGCATAGAATACATTTAGTGCTCACTGAAAAATCAGCCGTTCTATGCACTCTGTGCATGGGTTGATCTTTTTTTTTTTACAGGGGCACCATTGAAAAACCACAAAAACGACGTTGCCCCATTTGAGGGCCGAACGGAATATTGATCAACCCCGATGTATTTACATTGCCAGCCAGAAAGTGCTGGTGATTCTGGTGCGTTGCCTGAGATTCGTGTGTTGCTTTGTTTTATTTGTGCATCCTGCACGTCAAAGACTTTCTGGGGCCAGGGTTTTCTGGTTGACTCAACATGTTTTTCACACGGGCTGAAATGAGGAAAGCGAGACCGCTGTTTCCAACCGCTTTGCAACATGAGGTTGGCGAGTTCTGAGATGCCTCACTCAGATGTACCATTTTCAAAAGGCCTGGCCTAGTAGTGCTGATCACGGGCTCCCGCAGTCACAGCTAGTTTGGACAAGCATGAAAGGTGTGCTAGCAATGGAATCATTCGAGGTCTCCCCCAACATTATTAATAAGGCGATGGTATGGAGTAGTGTGAGCCATCAAAGTTGGGGCGGTTCAAATCCCCCCAGGTACCACCGGTACTGCTCACGCCGTGCCGTTGAGACCACAACAAGTCCGGCTATACTTTCCAAACCCAAACATAAGTATGTATGGCAGTTACATCATTCTGAGTCATTCTGATTCACAGGGTTGACATACTCCAAACAGATGTGTTCTCGTGTACCCATGGCCAATGGCCATCTGTGACTCACAGGAGTTTGGAGGCGCGCCTTCGCCAGGCGTGGGGGACCTGGCCGAGGAAGAGCTCTTGGCTCACTTCTCCAAGAAGTGCCTTGGCCTGATCCAAAGGTCGCGTACACATGGGTCCAGGGAAGCCGCCAGGCAGGAGGGCGATTTTGGGGCCCTGAACGGAAGGAGCGGGATCAACGTGTCTCTTGTGTTTCCTCTTCTTCACCCCGCGAGGCTCATGAAAAAAGGTGCCACTGGGCTGGTTCAGGCGACGATCCAGAAACGGGCGAGTCACTTTTGAGCGAATTTAGGACGATGGTTGCCCCAGTTGTTGGTGGTTGATTTGGTTGATGTGATTGATTCGGTTATTGTGGGTCATTTAGTTGATGTGGTTGATTTGGTTCGTGTGGTTGATGTGGTTCATGTGGCTGATTTTGTTGATTTCTTGAGTCATTGGCTGGTCTAACTTTCGGGCTATCCTTTGCGGGGGCAGCAAGTCAACCACTGTCGACACATGAATTCATCGACTTGAAGGGAGGAAGCATCCGCGCTGATCTCCGAATGCATTCCGAATAACGTTTTCGTTTTTGTAATTTGTCCAGGTAAGCTACAGCCGGCTTTTCCCCTGAAGACCGCGAACACTCTGCGTTTGAAGGCATGATAATATCGCCGTGGCTCAACCAACCGGTACCAAAATCGAACCCAGGTAAGTCCAAACATGGACCAACATGGACCCTCTCCTGTTTAATTTTGAGCCATACCCATATGGGCTGATTGATTACACGGCCACGGACACGAAAGCACCTTGCAGTAATCAAGATACTGCTCATGCCGTAATATATGATACAAGGCTGAACAATGAGCAACGACTCATAGGCCGCTCCTACAATTATGACTCTTGTTGGTGTTAAACTATCCACTGTTGTGTTCAAAATGTGGGTTCTTTATAGTATAGCTCTGCATGAAAATTATCATCTGTGAAAGGGCGGTTCCTTGGGATTTGAAATTACTTTTCTTGCAACACTTCACAGGAGGCAAACGATGACCCCTACCTACCAACAGTTCCTTGCGATGGTCCTTCAAGGTGGTGGATTCCCGAGACCCCTTCTCCTTCCCTTGCTGGGACCCAGCCTTTGTTTGGGATGCCAGAAAAAAGATATCGCGAAGACTGGACAACATCACAGGTGCGGGAAGGTGCAGTCCCTGTCCAAGCCCGCCTCGAAGTCTACCAAGACGAAGGGACACTCGGCCTCTGGGGACTTGTCATGGCAGCGGCCACTTTGCATTGATGTAAATATGCATATGTATGTGTATATGTGTATATATGTCTATATGTATATATGTTGTGTGTTTATGATTATCATGATGATTATCATAACATTATGATTATTATCAATGATAATTGTTATTGTTAGTATTATCATCATTATTATTAGTTGGTTATGTTGTTGTTATTGTTATTATTGTTAATACTATTTATTTATTTATTTATTTATTTATTTATTTATTTATGTATTATTATTATTATTATTATTATTATTATCATTATTATTATTATTATTATTATTATTATTATTATTATTATTATTATTATTATTATTATTATTATTATTATTATTATAATTATTAACATTATTTATTTTTATTATCATCATTGTTTTATCTTAATAGGTTCTTATTATCTAATTATTATTATCTTACTATTACTATCAGTATTATCATGATTATCATATACATACATCACTTCATCACTTTCCATCAATTATGGTGAACGGCAGGCCCTTGAGAAGGGGCGGTTGGCAATCTATGTAGATAGATAGATCGGTAGTTAGACAGCTTTGCTATCCACATACACATCAATTTATTATATATGCGTATGCAAGCACAGTCTACATCACTCGGCTGATGGCTATGAGTCATGTGAGCCACACTCAAAATCTGGGAAAGTGAAGTGAAGGTAAAGGACCGTCCCGGCCCGGCCCGGCCCTCTAAAACCTGCTCCGATGCGCTGTGCGTCCTCTTCATTCCTTGGGTTTCGGGTATATAGACATGTTGTCTCACTCCCTGAGCTCCTGGACTTCAACACTTCTTGGGTTTTGGACCATTTTAGTGGGAAAATACATAAAACTAAATCTTATTTAAACAAAAAATGAACAGTTGACTGGACCTTACAATAGTAAAGAAATTCAGACTTTCAGGCCTTCTTGCTAGCAAATGTCTCGATCGGTGAGACACGTTTCCCCTTTTTTTTGGACTCAGAGGACGTTTTGCTTCGCCTCGAGTCCTCGCGCCTCGAGTCCTCGCGTCGGACTCGTCGGACTCGACGTTTCGAGTGTCAGGGCGCAGCCGGGGCTTCGCGATTTTGGACTTCGCCAAGCCGAAGTTGGCCGCCAAAGCGCTGGAGCTGGACGGCGCCAGCATCAATGGCCACACCGTCACGGCAACTCGACACGGAAATCAGGGGAGCACAAGGGTCAACCTGGGGGTCCATGACCCCATTATGTTGGGTAAGGACCCCACCTTTTAAGGGTCATGGAGACTCCACGAAGCGTCATTTTTAAAATATATTTTTAGTTGATTTATGGAATGGTACGACCTATGCCCATTTTTTCATCTTTCGGTTTCAAAGCCCCTTTTGGGGACCCACTTCAAATCTTTTTTGGCGCCAAACGGGATACCGTGTTGTAGCAGAGTCACTGAGAGCTTAGCTGCCCTTGGAACACGAAGAGTGCCTTCCGTAAGGCGAGGTTTGGACCGAAGCAGGTGCCCTTGTATGTGTGTATGTGTGTGTCTGTCTTTTTGGGGACGCCTCCAAATGGCGGCTTTGCATTTGGCTTCCCTTTAAAACCTGCCAAAAAGGGAGACCAACTCCAACAAAGACGAGCCATCCAAATTTATTCGTTCATTCTTTCTTGGGGATTTGAGATTCGAGCATCGCCTGGCCATTTTAGGATTCGTTTCCGTTGGGCGGGTTTGTCAGGTGAGGAGTTACACGCCCAATGAGAAGGAACAGGCGAAAGCGGACAAGAAGAAGGCCAAGAAGAGCGCGAAAAAGCAGTTTCTTGGCATAAGGAGCTAGATAGGTCTGTCTTTTTTTGGAGACCCCATCCACATGGTGGGTTTCCTTCTGGTTTTCCTGTGAAAACCACCAAAAAGGGCACATTCCCAAAAACACACCCCAAATCGATACGTTGATTGGTAGATTTCTTGGTTGATTGGTTGTGAATGTGTTCCTGCTTGTGCAACACCATTGAGTAAATGAACACTTGAAAAAGGAAGTTCAGTCTTGAGCTTGTGTCTACCCAGATGCAGAAAACATTAATTATCGGACGGTTTGGCCTTCATGCACAGCTTCAGCATTTGTGTGTATCCATATTCACTATCTCTCTCAAACACTGATGGCATCGTTTCCCACTGAGACCAGGGTTGGCGTAGCAAAGATGTGAATTGTGTGCGACAAAGTATCAACATATCAACCGTGGTCTGAATGACCACTTCCCCGGGATCAAGAATTCCAGATTTGCCAGAGGTTTGCGAGGGATATCACAGTTTGAACAAGCTTGAGGCTTGAGGTAGAAAGAACTTCTTGAAACAAATCGAAGCCGATTTGAACCCTGCCGACAAACTTGCGTGTGCCATCACAAGGCCATGTGTTTTTGTTGGCATTCCTTGGAAGTTTGGAACAGCCTCACTCTGCGCATTCCGGCACTTGTGTGTGTCAATGCTCAAATATGAAACATGTGTGGCATTGCGCTTGATATCTTCAAGCAACAAGCTGGAGCTGTGGTCGATCAATGGACATTGACTCAGCCATGTACATCACATGAAAGCAGTGGCTTGGTTCAAAGTCTTGCTTTGTAAGCAGCCTTGTGCACAAGCACTAGAAAGACGATCACCAGTGCGGTGAGCATCAGACCTCTATAGCATTTGACAGGCATTTGAGGATGCTGAGTGTGAGACCAATATTGGGCAAAGCATGTTGATTCCTCAATGCCGTTGTAAGCTCTACACGTACCTTGGTTTGATATCTGTGGTGTTTGTGCTCGTTTGTTGATCAGTGCCTTTGTTGTCGGTTTTTGCGGGTGGCTTCCTGGTGTTCATGAGGCTTTGGTGCGAAGCAATGGCAAGGAACAGGCCCCCTCATGCGAAAATGAAACGCTGTCTAAACAGGAGTCAGCATCAGATGTCGAAACACATCTGAGGAATAGAACTAGGTGAAAGCATATATATATATATATATGTAATATTAACATGATACTCACAATATACATTTTATACATACACACCTGAACACACGTATCCACACACACTTTGAAGGTGCCACGCTAGTTGGCAGTTTTTTTTGCACGGATCTGAGATTTTCTGTTTGTTTTGTTGTTTTTAAGGGTCTGCATGGCATTCCCAGAGGAGGCTGCATGGCATTCCCAGAGGAGGTACTTAGACCCCTTTTGAGCCCCCAGAAGCCATCCTCAGGAGGTACCAAGGAACTTTCTGGGACTCTGGGATTGAGGTTCCGCGTGGTGGTGCAGAACTTCCCAAAGTCCAGCACCACGTCACAGCTGAAGGACCACTTCGAGGGCGCGCTCTACGTGCAGCTGCCCAAGAAGAAGGCCCCTCGACGGGAGCTGTGAGCCGGCTGGACCAAAGGTTTCTTTGTTGCATTTTGCCAAGGGATGTTAGGACTGAACCTTTTTTTGGCCAACTAGTGGATGTTTTCTGGATTAAACCACAAAAAGTTAAATTAAGTTATAGCAGGGGAGCAGAAAGCAACCGAGGTTTGCTCGGGCTTTACCCAGTAAACCCCATTTGGGTCTGTCAACTCCGTTTGGAGTTGCTGGCGCCCTTGCCCTCTGTTTTTTTGTTTTCAGGGGCAACAGGAAAAGCTAGCATTTTGGGGGGGTCACCTTCAGGTAGATCCGTTTGTTTGCTCAGCGGCTCAGGCTCAGCGGGGCTCTCCCTTCCACTGTGGGTGAAAAATACCTGGCATAGATCACGGATTTTGTTCACGGCTCGTAGATGTGGTTCTACACCTCCTAAATGAATGTGTCTGTTTCGAGGTGCCACTGCATGTTTAGGCTGAAAAGAGCTTTGTTTGAGAGCTGACAAGGCGCAGGGGTATCCATGAGGTTTGGAGGGTTCGGAGGGGGGATCCATGGTTCGCAGACAAACCCGAATGGACATGACATGTTGCAATTTGTCCCCGACATGCCCCAGATTGGATCGCAACAACCTATGACCAGGCACCCAAATCAACTCTTGCACATCAAGCTACCCATCCAACAAACCCCTGGATTTTTCATGAGCACCAACGAGATCTCCTTTTTGATGCCAAAGTAGTGTCTTGTGTGGTGAAATTAACTTTTGCCGATGCATGACTTTCACTTTTGATTGTGGTGGGTGAGCTGTGCAGAAGAAGCAACACAGAAAGCAATGCCCTGAGTGGTGGCTTTTGTCGCTGGTGCTCAGTAGGAAATGACCTTCCATATTGTGGGAATGAACCCGGGGAATCTTTTTTTACAGGAAGCCAGGGGATACCTTTTTTGGGGTCCTTCCGTTTCTGACTCCTTGGCTATAGAACCGATGGCAAGTTTTGTGGATTAAACGAGGCGTGCCTTCCCCAAATTCGCGCCGCAGGATGGCTCCTTGCGGGGCGTTGGTTTCATTACCTTCGACTCAAAGGCTCTGAGACGGGGGGGTGGGTGAGGTGTGGGGGGGGGGGGGGTGGTTTCAGCTGTAGCTTTGTTGAAGATGGATCTGGCATTGCCGCTTCTTGCCCCAAGGCCAGAAAAGGAAGGCTGGTATGCAGACGGCTTCCTTTCACCAGGCAATGTCTGTCAGTTTCCGTGAACCTATGCGCTCCGCTCGTCTAAGAAGTAGTGAATTACCACGGTAGCAGGGATTTCATTGGGCACAACACCAACATATTGGGAAACAGAGGTTACTCACCAAAATCCATTATCAGTTGGGGGCCACAAAATCGATTCTGCTTACACCATGGCAGAACTCGCGTGCTTTTGTTTTCTGCGGGTGGCCAGGTGGCCGACTCGGATTGGGGCCCCAAGGATAGCAGGTAAGACTTGGATCACTGAAACTACGTCCAAAGAAGGTCCGAGCTATGACAAGACTGATCGCTCGCCAAAAAGCCACGTGATTCGTTTGCATCAACCAGAGAGCTTGCAAGTTAAGCCGCACGGCAGACAAAAGCCCTGCAGATGGAGAAACAAACAACATGAGAGCACTTTGCCACCAGAGTCGCTCATTCAATCCCCAGTTGGAGGAAGCGAATGGCTAGATCTCGTGGTTTGCATTTTCGAGGGAGGGCTGAATTTGGAGGCAAAATGTAACCTGGACAATGGCTGATACCTTGCCCTGGTCTTATGCGGGTGTCCGCCCCCTGTAAAAGGTCATGCAAGGATCCGTGCCAGAAGCATCATCTCAGGCACTGAAAATAATTCTCAGGGCTTCCAGTTACCAGTCTAGCCTGCAACCAGGGGAAACCATCACGCAACAATTAGAGGTAAGACGTTCAGGTAACCTGTGACGGGGGGGTCCAAAAAATATTCAAATATGTTATATTCTCAGTTAGACTATGGAACAGAACATTTCGGCCAAGTGGCAATGGAAGCGTTGGATATTGCGGCACAGTTTTGGTAGACCACTTGTAGGCGCCACAGTCTCATCAGTTGCTTGTGTTTGGTGTGTTTGGCTGGGTTTTCTTGGTTTTTGGCTTGCTCAATCCCGGTTGTCGTCGGCGAGAATGGTTGATGACTTTGCTTTGTGTTTTTTTTTTGTCGTGGATGTGTTTTGGCTATTGAATCCCATGTGGGCTTGTGTGTTGGGTGTGCATTGGCTGTTTTGGGCCTATTGGAAGGGTTGGTCATGCGACCAAACAAAGGGCCCCGAGAAATGTCACCTCGGGCCACTTAAGCGTCATAGTCCAGACCCCGAACTCGGATGGTTTCCACTAGCCCCAAACCACTACCAAGGAACATGGAGACTTCCGGCCCGGCTATCCACCTAAACCCTTAGCTTTCGTTTGGAAAAAGCCAGCGAAACATCAGCCAGGAGTCCATGAAAGAAGCCTTGCGGCTCGACGGAGAGGAGCCAAGGGAGCGATGGCGCCACGAGTTGCAACGAACTCAAGTGGTTGCTGGAACTTTGGCTTAGATTTTGGACCAGCCCCGCAGATTTGGCCTGACGAGCCAATGCTTCCCTTTCACAAAACACTCACTTTGGCTCCATGCTGAATTCCGATGTCGGTCCGGGTCCCTGATTCAGTGAGTTAGCAACAGATTCTGGGCCAGCCGAGCACGTTGCCTGACGAGCCAGTGCTTCCGTTAAACAAACTCATATCACTTGAGCGTCCAAAGCCCCTATCAGCCATTTTAGCAGGTGGTTCTACCTGTTGCCATGAAGATCTATAGCAAGGCCTAAATAGACGCCTAAACAAATCATATGTTTTACAGACATCTCGAACCATTGCTCCATGGGTGAAACGGACGCTGCTCACTTGTCTTTGAGGCTTAATGTTGGGGGGTGCCCCTGGGTTTAGTGGGGAATCATCACTTTTGGAGGGGAACACCCCCCAATGTCCTGCGAATGCAAGTCTACTTTCTTGCAAATGAACTGGCAGAACCCAAAATGGGGGTCCATGACCCAACATGATTCCATGTTGAATCTGCAGGAGAGTAAAGCAACCGAATCGAATCTTGCACGTGTGGCTTTAGCAAGTCACTCAGAGCACCAGCTGCAGGAGCAGGGGACTGGAGATTTCCTCACGAAAAACATTCAAGACGATACCTGCAATCTGCAGGTTTCACATTGTCGCCCAACAGGCATCCTGACTGTTTCAGAGCATGCGGTGTTCGTTGTTGCTCCCTTTGTTTGGGCCTACATGTTGAGCCTCTTGCTAGGGTGGTTTTGCCCCGAACTGCGTGCGATTGCAAGCCACTTTGCGAGGAGTTCAAGGACAAGCCACTGAAAGTCACCGCGGCAAAGGACACGGCAAGCCAGAAGCTAAGAGAAGTCACTGAAGAGTTGTGGCTAAACCAACCCAAGCACCACAACCACCGGACCACAGGACCACAGACCTGTATGACCTATGACCATGGCTAGGGGAGAGAGGGGAAAGGGGGATTGGGGACGCAGCATATTGACCCCTTAGTGGCGCAAGACATGCAGAACCTGAACCCGCTTCCAACCTCACAGGTCTCTGTTGGAGGGTCTACCGGTCCGCGGCCCGCGGTTTGGGGTTCAAGCGGTAAAAGGTCAAGGAAAGGCACGCGCTCTCCCGTTTGAAGAGTCTCCTCGTGTTCGGCAAACTCAGAAGCCGTAGTTGGGTGTTGGTACATGAATTTGTGGTTTCTGAGCGTTCCATGAGACGCTGGTGAAACATCGGAGAACTTGACCGACCTATGATTTGACCGCCTAGATCGGTGGGGCATTCCCATATTTTTGGCGGTGAGGCTTCAGTTGACATGGAGGGAGCACTCAATGTTGGGCACGAAGACTTTGTCAGCCAACCGGGTTTTGGAGCAGTTCGGAACGATCAAGCCAAGGCAATGTGTCGAAGTTTTTGTCTAGTTCAATCTAATTTGTATGTCTTTGTTAGTTGGATGTTTGTAGGTACGTTTAATTCCTGCACATCCCTTGTCGTCAAGCGTGCGTTGATTTGCTCAGGCTACTTCCACACACTTTTTAAAGGCCCTTCCAAACTCCAACAACTGCAAAGGGTACGGGTTGGGATTCTGCGAGCACCTGGCCGTTTTGAAGCTAAGAGGCTCAGAACTGGCGTTGCTTACAATCCGCATGCCGCTTGGATACAGATCTCCAAGCAACGATCTCAATTCCCTTTGACATGACACCAAGTATGATTTATTGTGCATGGACAGAATCCTGCAGCAGTTGGGATGGATTAAACCCTGGGAAAATTACTTAAGAACTGATGCCCATCCGCAGTATGGCGTGTCCACTCTCCTTACTTCAGACTGTCCTTGAGGCAAGACGGCGGCCGAGTGACGCATCAGACGGTGAAAAAGCCGATGCGGAAGCGCACACTGGAAGCCTTTTGGGGCATGTGTCAGAACAAGGGAACTGTCCTTGCGGTTGACATGCTGCTGGTGTCCTTTAGAACCAGACTAGCACGCAATGACAGCAATAGTTTTGATATGCTCCGGTTGATGAAACATTGTTGCGAGTGAAGCTTGAGCTTTGCGAAGAATCCTTTGTTTTGACCAATGTCCAGCTTCTTCAAATAGTGATGCCCTCTGAATCGACTTCAGATTCTTGAAATAGTTTGAGGCATGGAGCATGGTGGAGGACTAAGTTTGTCCACTTCGTAAGCTTGGAGCGTTATGTGTTTCACAAACCTCCTGAAATCAGATCCTTCACACAAATACGGACATGTGTCAAAATTGGCAGGCGCGGGGGGGGGGGGGGTCTCCGAAAGGTTTTGATTTCCCTTTCAACCAAAGGGTATCCTCAATTCAAACAGCGGAAACTCGGGTTGGGCCAACCTCTTAACACATGTTTACGCTAGTGTTTAAACCACCTTCCTTTGATTTGTGCAAGGGGTTCCGGGGTTTGTTGAAACCAATTCCCCCACCTGGACTTTGGTTGGAGGCTTTGGCGGGGGGGGGGGGTGGGGTGTGGACCAAGGCTGGAGCACGTGGCAGGCAGTGGGTCCCAGGAACTGCAGAGCTCCGCTCTCGCGAGCTCCTGGGTGGTCCGGGGCCTCAGGGCGGAGTCTCCACATCTGAGCCCTGCCATGGGCGAAGGTCATCCACCTACGGGCGTGACCCAAAGGGTTGGTCTACCAAACGTCAGACCCCATGTGTGCGGGCTGGACGTCATCTATGCGACCCAAAATGCGTCTCAGACACAAAAATCTGGGGGGACTCCATGTTTAAAGGGCCAGATCCGGAAACTCCAGGTATAAACACCAGTAAACCCCATTTGGCTGCGATTGTGAGTCGGAACCACTCGAAGTTGGTGGATATGATCACCGAAGTCTGTGCACCAACGGTCCGGGACCCATTTTCCTAATCAAATATTCCTGCGAGATGATTCAAGATATCAATGCAGTGTCTAAGTTGTTGGTTGCGTGTTAGCTTTTGATGCGTGTTGCATCAACTAAACCAACAAATGCCAAGCCGGTTCAGCATTGGTCGTGGTTGGTTTATTTTTCTTCCAAAAGCCCAAAGCCACATGTCTTCTCTGCCGATCTGGTCTTTGGGACAGGCCTGTCGAGTGTAGGTCCCTTTGATTTCAATGACCCTGCAAAAGCATGGGTGTCCTAAGGTTGCTTTAATGTAGATCGATTGAATATAATGTTGCCTTTTGTAAGGCTAGGTTGCGTGGAGTCTCCATGACCCTTTGAAAATGGGTTCATGACTCCAGTATTTTGGGCAATGACCCCATGTTTTACGGGTCATGGAGCCTCCAGGTACGTATATGAAGCAAGTCGGGTGTCGTGTGGCTTCTTTTCGTTTCATGGGTTTTCATCTGTTCCAACAGAAGCTAAGGCAGCACCTGGGCAGAGCTTACAGGGGCCAGGGAAATCCGAGTGAAAGGGCTTCCTCCACAGAAACCTCTAATGGTAGCTTCCATCCATTCTTTCCAGGGATCCTTCTTTCTAGAAAACCACCAGAAACCCTGGGAAAACAGCTGGTTTTTGAAAAGAACGATGGTTGACAAGAATGGGGAATCAACCCCTAGAAAACCTGTGAAATCGGGGCTTCTCTTGGAGGAACCCCCCCAAAAAGAGTCGGTTGTCCATTTAGGTTCCGGTAGAATAACCCCCAAAAACTCTTGGTTCCCTCAACAAAAAGACTTCCAAATTGCCAGTAGATGGAACTGGGGCCCCCATGAAAGGCTGTACTCAGCTTGTGACACCTGCCTTGCTTGAATTGGTTGAGTTTCCGACTGGCACGCAAGGGGTGCTGGATTTGTTAAGTGCAACAACTTCATACCATGATAAGTTGCAGGGGTGCCTTGCTCCCGATGCCGATTGAGAAAGAGACGCCTTGGGGTTTCTCGCAAAAGAAGGACCCCCCCCCCAACTGGCTGGGTCCTGTTGTTTTCCCTTTTCCAAAAAGCAAAAAGGGCACACCCATATGGCTTGATAACATCAACTGTCAGTCTGTCAGTGTCAACCCCAAGCTGTCAGAAACCGGGGTCGGATCATCCAGCTACTTGAAGCCTTTTGGCCACGACCGCAGCCATTGGCCTACCCACCTTGGAGCACAGCCACTCACAGCACTTCGGCATGAGGCCACATCAGGAGCCGTATCACTATCCTCCGAAACTGATAAACCCAAAGCAGTTCGGAAGAGCAAACAAGGTACGGAAGCATGTATGTATGTGCATGCAACATATACAAATGTGCCTGTACAGCCAATACATATACATGTGCAAAGCCAAGCACGTTTGGCGATGTCCGGTCGGCAATATC